GCCAAACCTCTCCAATCTACGCTGCTCGTCCTCTGGCATAACCAGAGCTACGTAACCCTAAGTAGCTCCCACCGGCTGGGCTAGTGGTGCCTTCGGTGTCTGCAAACACTGAACCAACTGATCGGGCGTGCGCGCGGCGGGACTCTGAGAGCCTCCCTCTGCCTGAGAAGTGGCTGCGGCAGTAGAGACCGCGACCGCCTGAGCAAGACTCGTACAAACTGTCAAAATCTGGGCCAAAGTCTCCTAAAGACCCGGAATCACAATGGGCACAACTGGTGCCTGAGCTGGTGCTACTGGAGTGTCCACAACTGGGACCCGCTCCTAAACTGGGGCAGCTGGTGGATAACAGGAGCTGCCCCAGCTGCTGTGTGGGCTGCACCTCTACCCCTACCACGGCCTCGACCAGGTCCACGGCCTCTAGTGGCTCTAGCTGGTGGTACTGGTGGTCGTCCATCATGACCGGTAGCGCGTGTCCTCACCATCTGTGAGAGAGTAGAATAACAGAAGTTTAGTTCTCGGATCAACAAATTCGCACGACAAGAATTTCAAGAATATGGAGTTTTCCTAAAGGTTCTGCAGCCTCTCCAGGATAAATACAGATGTCTCCGTACCGATCCGCGAGACTCTACTAAACTTGCTCATGACTCGTGAGACCTATGTAACCTAGGCTCTGATACCAACTTGTCACGACCCTAAACCCAAACTCGGTCGTGATGGCGCTTCTCATGAAGACAAGGCTAGCCGACACACTTCCAATTCACTTTAAGCAATTAGAATATTAAATACTAAGTCTTTAACAAAAATAAAATCCCAAAATAACAATATTAGTTGCGGAATCAAAAACCAACACAGCCTGACATCGGGGTGTCACCAGTCATGAGCATCTAAAACAATACTACAAGTCTGAAAATCTACTCCACTACTACATAACTGAATCAAAAAGGGAATAAAATAGAGGGAGAATGCACTGGGCTGCGAATCGTCAAGCAACTACCTAGTAAAATCTCCGAAGATCTGCTGGAAACTACCAACCCTCAGTAGCAGGACCTGTAGCGCCCAAATATGCACATATGGGTGCAGGGAGTAAAGTGAGTACTCCAACTCAGTGAGTAATAATAATAAATGAAGACTGAGCGATATAAAATCACGTTAAACACAATAATAAGCTATAAGAGGCAGAACAAAATCAATAAACACAACTAAACAGTGAAATTTCATAAAACACCTTTTAAACAGTTAAACAATTAAAGGAAAAGCAGCTAGAAAGATAAACACACAAGAACTGCCCCTCGGGCTCAGTAACAACAACAGAATCAGCCCCTCGGGCAATATCACAGAACAATACCAGCCCCTCGGGCTATATCTCATATCACAATGGGTACCTGCGCTCACTGGGGGTGTACAGACTCCGGGAGGGGCCCCTAATGGCCCAAGCGCAATATCAAGCCATCTCGTGGCATCATAAACAGGCTCTCGGCCTCATATCAATCACAAGCCACCTCGTGGCGTACAATTAAAGGCCCTCGGCCTCATTATCATAATTAGTATATCACTGCTGCGACGTGCAGCCCGACCCAAAAGTATCCTCACAATACAGGCCCTCGGCCTTACTCAGTCAGAATCTCATAAGCCCCTCAGGCAACAGTAAAATATGAAGCTCGGCTCAAAAATATCTTATAAAATATCATTTAAAGTGTTTAAAACAGAGTAACAGGCTGAGTTTTGAAAATAGTAAAATATGGCATGACTGAGCACAAGTATGAAATCAAACAGTGAGGAAAAATATCAGCAAAAATCCCCGAAGGGTCCAAACAGTTGGCACGAAGCCCAAATATGGCATTTAGCCCAAAACATGACAATATCAAACAATTTGCTATTAAGTACGCAGTAAAACAGTCATTCGGGATGGACTAAGTCACAATCCCCAACGGTGCACGACCCCACGCTCGTTATCTGGCGTGTGCGTCACCTCAACATAGCCGAACGTTGTGTAATCCGGGGTTTCATACCCCCAGGACAACATTTAAAATTATTACTCATCTCAAACCGGCCCAAACTCTAGCTCGCAATGCCTTTGCCCCTCTAATTGGCCCCCGGATGCAATAAATCTACCAAAATCAGAACGTAATCATCAAAATATGCTAAAGGGACAAAACCCACTCGAAAATAATCAAAAAACAACGCGAATCCCGAAATTACCAAAACCCGACCTCCGGGCCCACGTCCCGGAATTCGATAAATTCTGCGTCATTAGATTCCTTATCTCCCCACGAGTTCATACATATCAAAAGTTCCAAAATCCGACGACAAATGGTCTTTCAAATCCTCAATCAAAGGCCTACGTTTCTAAGACCTAGTTTCTTTAATTTTACCCTTAATTACAACTCTAATCCGCGAATTAATACCATAAAAACGAGTTTCCATAATCCAAAACCTTACCTCAATGATGTCTCCTTGATTTCTCTATTCAAAATGGCCAAAAGCTTCAAAATTCGTGTTTAAAAGTAGTGAAACCCTCTGAAAATCGCGAAGGAGAAAATATAAATATTCAGACCCAGGCTTTTCTCACCTGCGGTCCAGATGTCGCACCTGCGTGACCGCTTCTGCGGTCCCAATGGCCGCACCTGCGGTTTTCACTTAACGGCCCAAAACCGCATCTGCGACGTCCGCTCCGCACCTGCGCTATTGCAGGTGCGGTCCATCAACCGCTTCTGCGGTCACAGCCTTCCTAGGCCTCATTTGCATCTACGACTTCTCGCCCACATCTGCGGGGTCTCACCTGCGATCCTTCAACCGCAGATGCGGTTATGACAGCAACCAAAAGGCTTCAGCTCTCAAACTCAATTCCAAACCTTCCGTCAACCATTCGAAATCACCCCGAGGCTCCCGGGACCTCAACTAAAAGCATCGACAAGTCTTATACTACCATTCAAACTTATACCAATCTTCAAAACACCTCAAACAACATCAAAACCACCAAAACACATCGAATTCAAGCCTAAGGTTCTAAAATCTTCCGCATTCCGCTTTTGATCAAAAAGTGTACCAAACCACGTCCGAATGACTTGAAATTTTGCACACATATCCCAAATGACATCACAAAGCTGCTGCAACTTCCGGAATTCCATTCCGACCCCTATATCAAAATCTCACCTATCAACCGAAAAACGCCAAAAACTCAATTTCGCCAATTCAAGCCTAAATCTACCCCGGACCTCCAAAACACATTTCGATCACGCTCCTAAGTCCTAAATCATCTCCCGAAGCTATCCGAACCATCGGAACTCACATCCGAGCCCTCTAACATATAAGTCAACATCCAGTTGACCTTTCCAACTTAAGCCTTCTTAAAAGAGACTAAGTGTCTCAACTTTCTCAAAAACCTTTCCGAACCTGAACCAACCAACCCGATCACATGTAAAACCGATAATTAAAGCAAATAGAAGCAGAAATGGGGAAAATGGAGCGGTAATTCATGAGACGACCAGCCGGGTCGTCACAATAATATTTCTATGAACCAATAATTCTTATTGTAAGTCAGGGATTTTATCGATCACATCTTGACCCCCGGTAATTTTGCTGTTCAACGCGGTTTTGTGCCCAATAGGTCATGCGTGTGCCTGGTTATTCATGAGAGCTCTAGAGACTAGGCCAAAATCTCATAGGAGCGGCCCACTCCACTCTCATATAGGTGAATTCATCAAGTGTATACTGCTTTTAAATACACCATCCATAAGGACTATGAATTTCATTAAGAGTTATAACTCAGCCTCTCAATTAGTAGCAGTCAAGTACTCTCTTTTAGTACTTCAGGGCCAATATCGACTTGTTATTACCCATATGAACCTACTTCATGGGATCTCCAATCACATAGGTTGGGTTACCATCTCTATTGACGACATGTCGGCCTTAACCCCATCTCTTTTGAGGTTTGAAGAATTAATTTTCTTCCCATAGGTTTAATCAGAGGATCGGCCAAATTAACTTCTGAGTTCACATGATCAATGGAAATTATTCCATCTCTCAGCAGCTGCTTTATGACATCATGTCTCAATTTCATGTGTCTACTTTTACAATTATAAGATTTATTCTTTGCTGTAGCTATTGTCGACTGGCAATCACAATGTATAAACATAGGAGGCAATACGTCCTTTATCAAAGGGATATTAGCTAAGAAGTTTCTTAGCCACTCAGCCTCAGAACCAGCTAATTCCAGAGCTACAAACTCTGATTCCATAGTTGATCTAGTAATGATTGTCTGTTTAGCTGAATTCCAAGATATTGCACCACCACCAAGGGTGAATACATAACCACTAGTGGATTTTGTCTCATCTGAATCACAGATCCAATTTGCACCACTGTACCCTTCTAAAGTAGAAGGAAATCCACTATATAGGATACCATAATTCATGGTTCCTCTCAAATATTTCATTAGTTTATCTAATGCAGACCAATGATCTATATTGGGATTATGAGTATATCTGCTCAGTCTACACACTGCATAGGCTATATTAGGCCTTGTAAAATTCATTAAATGCACACGGCTCCCAATAATTTGAGCATATTTAGACTGAGCAACTGGGTCACCATTATTCTTTTTCAACTTAGAGTTAGCATCAAAAGGAGTGCTCACAGATGTGACATTAAATATTCAAACTTCTTAAGAAGTCTTTCAACATAATATTCTTGTGACAACATTATGCCATCTTCACTCCTTATAACTTTAACTCCCAATATCATATGTACTTTCATCCAGATCTTTCATATCAAAATTAGCAGACAAAAATAATTTAGTACTTTGCACAATATTTAAACTTGTACCAAATATAAGCATGTCATTAACATACAGACATATTATCACATAATCATTGTTTACCACTTTAGTATAAACACATTTATCCACCTCAATTGAAGAAAAATCGTCTCTCAGTAAGACTTGCTCAAATTTCTCATACCACTGCTTAAAAGCTTGTTTAAGGCCATAAAGAGATTTAATTAATTTACAAACTTTGTCCAGGAATGACACAACCTTCAGGTTGAGCCATATAAATCTCTTCTTCTAAATCACCATTTAGAAAAGAAGTTTTCACATCCATTAGGTGGATAAAAAGCTTACGGATTGAAGCTAAGACGATTAAAACTCGAATAAAAGAAATTCTAGTCACTGGTGCAAATGTATCAAAATAATCTATATTTTATTTTTGAGAAAATCTTTTTGCTACTAACCGAGCTTTATATTTATCTAAGGATCCATCATGATTAAATTTTCTTTTGAAAATCCATTTACAACCAATAGGTTTTGTACCAGGAGGTAAATAAGTTAAAATCCATGTATATTTTTCTTAATAGAATCAATTTTAATTTTTATTGCCTCTTTCCAATATTTAGCATCTGAAGAAGATATAGCTTCAAAATAATTTGATGGTTCATTATTGACAAGAAAAGTCTGAAAATCATTTCCATAAGAAAGATATTCTTTCCTAGGCCTTTTACTCCTTCTTAGTTCCTCATTAGAGGTAATTTCTCTATTTGTTTCAACAGGTGTATGAGAAATTTTATCAGACAATGGATAAATATATTCAAAGAACTCAGCATTCTTTGTTTCAATTATAGTATTGCAATCAAGCACATCACTTTTCAATACAAGGAATCTATATGCAGCACTATGTTCAGCGTATCCGATAAGCATGCAATCAGTAGTTTTAGAACCTATTTTTCTCTTTTTAGGTTCAGGCAAAAGAACTTTAGCAAGGCACCCCCACACATTTAAATATTTTAAATTAGGCTTATAACCCTTCCACAATTCATAAGGAATTTTGCCTGTTCTTCTATGTGGTATTCTATTTTGTAAGTGACATGCAGATAAAATAGCTTCACCCCACAAATTATCAGGAGCATTAGAACTAACTAACATAGAGTTCATCATCTCTTTCAATGTTCTATTTTTTCTTTCAGCTACTCCATTTGACTCAGGTGAATAAGGCGGAGTTACTTCATGAATAATTCCATTATTCTCACAAAATTCATTTAAAGATAAATATTCTCCACCTCTATCTGATCTAATTCTCTTGATTTTTCTACTAAGTTGATTTTCAACCTCAATTTTATAAGAAATAAAAGCATTAAATGTATCATCTTTATTTCTAAGCAAATACAACTTAGTATATCTAGAAAAATCATCAATAAAAGTCACATAATATCTTTTACCACCTCTAGTCATAGTCTGTTTCAAGTCGCCTAAATCAGTGTGAATTAAAGATAACAATTCAGTTTCTCTATTTACGGAAAAACATGTCTTTCTAGTACTTTTAGCTTCAGCACATATTTCACACTTGATAATATTATTTGAGTCTAAACCATATATTAATCCTAGTGACTACATTTTCTTTATATATATATGACATTAACATGTCCTAGTCTAGCATGCCATAGAGAAATAAACTCAACCATATAAGCAGAAGTAGATACATTTCCATTGATAACATCAGAAATATTAAGTACAAAGAGTCCTTGGTTACAATAGCCCTTTCCCACAAACACATTATTTTTGGTTATTATGATCTTATCAGATTCAAATGACACTTTCACTCTGGCTCTTCCCAATAAGGATACAGAGATCAAGTTTGCCCTCATAGTAGGAACATGCAGTGCATCAACAAGGGCTAAAGTTTTTCCCGAAGTGAGTTTCAGGAGAACTTTACCCATACCCAAGACTTTGGTAGTACTTGAGTCTCCAAGGTAGACCTCTTCTCTATCATCCTCTACAGGAGTATAAGAGGAAAATGATTCTCGATTTGCACAAATGTGCCGAGTAGCCCCAGAGTCTATCACCCATTCTTTTGCATGTGCTACAATATTTACTTGAGAAATGACAGCTGCAATAATATCACCTCCTTCGGCTAAGTTAGCCTTAGGAGTATCAGTTTTTCCTTTGTCATTTCCTGCTCTGTACCTGCACTGTGAGGCATGATGGCCCGGTTTTTCACAAATAAAACAAGAGCCTTTTTTTTCTTTTAAGGTTAAGATTTTTAGGCTTGCAAACTTGAGACTTATTCTCGTACCTTTTGCGGTTGTTGTTGCTGCTTTGCACTAAGTTTGCTTTAAGAGCTGTCATCCTAGCTTTGGCAGATTCTTTTCTGTTGGAATCTTCAATTAGGATGTGGGTCACAATTTCCTCAATGGTGAAATTTTTTTGTTTGTGCTTTAAGTTATTTTTGTAGTCACTCCATGAGTCAGACAACTTCTCAATTAGCACTCCAGCAGCAAACTTCTTTGGTAAAGACATCCCTTCGGCCTTCAAGTCTTCTAACAATTTTTGAAATTCGTTGATTTGTACGTTCATCTCTTTATCATCTCTCATCTGCCATTGATAAAATTTTCCTAATACGAATTTTTGTTTTGTAACATCTTTAGTAGTGAATTTTTTTAATTAAGGCTTCGCATATAGCTTTTGCTTCTTTATAACTGCAATACACGTCAAACAGTTCATTAGAAATAGTTTGCAATATGATATGACGGCATACCTTGTTGGCGTGTTGCCATGATTCCACTATTTTATTATCAGCGCCTGCACTAGGTTGTGGATGCAGCAGTGCATGTGCAACACCATGGATATCAAGCAGTGAGAAATACGTTCTTGCCAACGCTTGAAAATTTCATTGGCGCAAATTTCAATATTTGACACATCTGGAAATGGCCTGGCATATGGCAGTGCAACTGGGGCTGGAGCAGCAGACGAAACGCCAATATTGGCGGTATCAGTAGTATTTTCAGCATCAGTGTTATTTGCCATAGTTTCTTAGATTGTAGTAATTGAGAGCAAGAATTTCAATAACACTGTTTCAATAACAATAACAATACTGCAATAATATTCTTTGTAAGCAAATACACGAATTAGCTTGAGTCGTGCTGGGCACTGTCCTAAGAAACTATTTCAGCAGTGTGAAATATTTCTCCAGGATAAAACAAGCTTACCTCTATTTTATTTAGAGGATACAGGAATCAGCAAAATATTTATATTACAATAATCCAACAAGATTGATAAAGAGAATAGGACAAAGAAAATTTATAAGAAAAATTGAAAATAAGAGAAGCTAAGAGAGAAAGAGAAGAAGGCTAAGTAGAAAAGCACTTCTGATGGGATGATTATTGTGCCGCCAAATGATGGCTATTTATACTTGAAATTGCATGTAAATTTGTAGTGCATGGCAAGAAAGTGGCTAATCAAGTTTGTGTCACGACCCAAGTTCGCCCTCCGTGAACTATCGTGACGGCACCTAGTCTTTACGACCAGGTAAGCCTAACAAATTGCGGAAAAACAAAACAACAGGATAAAACTAGCCAAAACTGCAGAAATAACAACTGAAGCTTTTAAGATGCCGCTCGGCATATACAGTACAAACTCTTAAAATGAAACTACATTTCCCAAAACCCGGAATCTCATGAAATCACAAGCTGTGGAATAACTACAGTGTTCTAACTCAGAGTGTCTAAACAAAAGTAAATAAAGAAGGGCTAATACTATGAGAGAGAATGGAAAGGGACTCCTCGGTCTGCGGACGCGGCAGACATACCTCAAAGTCTCTGATGGATCACCCCGCCTCAAGGATAGTAGGGCTGAGTCGAAGTACCTGGATCTGCACATAAAAAACATGCGCAGGAAGGGCATGAGTACACAACGGTACTCAGTAAGTGCCAAGCCTAACCTCGGTCAAGCCCTACTGATTATAGCTGAAAAATGAGATAAAATAGTATAGAATACGACAATATAATTAATTGTTAACAGTGTGAAATAACAGAATACAATAAGAATAACAACAACTATTACAGAGGCAGAAGTAATCACGGAAGAATACGGCTCAGCATAGAGATCACAACCGGGGATCTCCCAGGATACCGTCCTGTAGTCCCAAACATAAATATCCAGTGGATCTCCCCGGATATCGTCCCGTAGTCCAACTCATAGTGCCCGGGGATCTACCAGAATCCCGATCCGTAGTCCCAAATGGATATACCAGTACTGGGGGAATCTACCGGGTGCAGTCCCATAGTTCCAATATAAAAGTGCAGGGGGAGCTCCCGGAATACCAATCCGTAGTCCCAAAGTAAATAGGCAGGGGGATCTCCCGGGATACCATCCCATAGTCCCAAAGTAAACACACAGCGGCAACACGAAGAATACTCAATTCAATTCCAATTTCATACCAAGGTAAAACAGATGTTTCTAACCTAGCATGCTGTACATAATCCAAATAAGGCAATTTGAGCAAGTAAAGCAATTAAGTCAATTAAACATGCTTCCCTAAGCTAACAGCAGGCTTAAATTACATGCAGTATAAACAGGGAAAAGTAATGTTGTATTCTGGGCCGGGCCCGGGCCTAAATGGGCCTGGACTTTGGCGGGCTGGGCTCAGGCAGTCCCGGGCCAAACGGTCCCAAGCGATGGAACTGGCCCGCTGTGGGCCTAAGCCCACATGGTCCCGGGATAAATGGACCGGGCCCACGGGCCTAAACGGGCCTATGTGGTCCGGGCTATTCTTTTTTGAATTTTTTTTATCTAAGACATTTTCTTGTAAATTATATATGTATAAGGCGACATTTTCTTATAAATTATATAAGGCGACATTTTCTTCGATGAACAACATAATAGTCAGACATTTTCTTTTTTATATATATACACACACACACACATACATACTATACATACTATATATACTACATAATATATATAAGCTATATATATATATAAGGCAATATCTATACATACTATATATACTACATAATATATATAAGCTATATATATATATATATATATATATATATATATAAAATTTCAGGGCATAATTTTGATAATACTGTAACGATATAGGTCTACAGAATGAGAGAGAACCGAGTAGGATTTTACAACATAAGAGTTTAACGTTTTTACAACACCAATTTTACCGTACCAGTAAAATTATTTTACCGAACCAGTAAATATTTCAAGATTAGAAACTTAAACAATCTTACTGTTAATGCCTATTAATCGTAATAACTATACCCATCCAGAAGGATTTGCTAGAAGCCTTACCTCAAGTCTAGAAGAATTTAAATTAAACGTAGATACCGGATTCTACTCTATAATAGACTTAGCTATACATTTTATATATTTACAACAAAATAATAGTATTTGTTCAGATATATATAGAAAACAACTATATCTTATATTTCGAATACTATCATATCATCAGTCATACTAGTTAAGATCATATTATATAAGAAGAAGATTATAATTTGAAGGATCAGACCTTATCNTTCCGTTGGTGGTGGCGGAAAAGAAGCTTGTTCATCACCGCTTCCGGGCGAAGCAGCATCCTCCGCAAGTTCCGCTAGCATTTCTTCATAAGCTTCGTCTATCTCCGGTTGTGATTCAGCAAGTCCAAAATTTCTTCTTTCCGAACGGATCCAATCTCTGAAGAGTACTGATTTTTCCAAGCTCTCCCTCATAGACGCTCTATGATCACCTATTTGAAGTCTCGCTTGACTGAAAGCGCTCTCTGATGCCACTGTTGAAGCTTGAACACATAAAATATCCCGAGCCATCCTTGAAAGAACCGGAAAGTATTTTTCTCTGGCCTTCCACCATTCCAAAAGATAAAGGTGCCGTCTGGATTCTCCTTTTCAAGGCCCTGCGACAAATAAACTTGAAGCTCATTTAGATGTGAAGTACCATCAATATTATCACCTTGAGAACCCCTGAACTCCGTCCAAGAACTAAGTGCTTTTAGGCCCGCAGTTCTTTTAGATGATTGCGAACTAGACGAAGTAGGAGTTGGAACATTTGGTCTAGCATGATCTAAGGCAAGTTGATAAGCATTATAAATTGTTTGAGCATTTATTTAATTGAGGCTTTTGCATCTGCAAGTGTAGCAAATTCCTCATCTGAAAGATCTAAAGCCTTATAAATATTTGAATACCAAAAGTGAGGACCTCCTAATTTTATAGTAGGATTTAACATGGCAGCAACACCATAAATAGGGGGGATAAGGAAAAAATATTTTTTAAACTTTTCTTTCATTGCATTTATAGCTAGTTGATAAATTACCTCACCCTCTGAAAATTCAACAAACAAATCACATAGTGCTGCAATATAAACTAAACAGTTTGAAATAGTAGGATAATATTGCCCAGACAATTCATTTGTAGCTTGATGAAATTGTTCTAAAAAATCTATAAGAATTTTAACATTATTCCATTCTTGATTTGTAAGGATTTCATCATCATCCTCACCACCAACACGAGCATTAAACGTTGCATGTATTGGGTTTCTATATTCATATGCAACAACTAAACTTTCGTACATATAATTCCATCTAGTCGGACAAGCTTTAGGAACCTTTCTTTCTCTAAGGCCAAATTCATCACATTTTTTAAAATATTCTCTAAGTCTACTTCTACGGTTTGAATAAAAAAGCCAATTAAGAGCCATTTTAACCTTTTCAATTTCTAAATTTAAAATTTTCATACCATCACCGACGATTAAATGGTAAATATGACAAATACATCTAACATGGAAACAATTACTAAATGTAGGATTTAGTGTAGTTGTAAGTAAGCCTATAGCATTAGTGTTACCAGAAGTATTATCCATAGAAATTGACATTATTTTATCTCTAATGCAAAAATATCTACAAATATCTGCAACTGTGTTAGCAATTAAGTTACCAGTGTGATGTGAATTAATTATTCTATATGCAATAATACGTTTTTACATTTTCCATTCTTCATCAATCCAATGAGTCGTAACAGTTAGATAATCACAGTCATTACCGCTTCTACCAATATCAGTAGTAATAGCAATGCGACAATCTATATGAGTAAATAAATAGCGCAAATATTGTTCATATTCATGTTTATATTTATAAATATCGCTCTTTACGGTTGCGCGAGGCCATCCTTTATAAGTAGGATTAAAAACTTTTCTAATATAATGCACAAAGTGAGGGTTAGAAGGAAAACTAACAGTAACCATTTTTGCTAATTCTTCATGATCTTTATTTGGATCGTAATATAAAATGCCGCCGGTCACAGTGTTAATTCCTGGTTGAACTAGATTTGACCCGGTACTGGGGTTAACCTCAATACCTACACTTCTCCCCTCTAGCTGCTTTCATTTGAAGATAACTAGCTTTATCTCTAGGGTGTGTCTTTATGTGTCTAGTCAAACTACCCGTACCGCTACGGTCTCCAACATATTTATGAGCCAACAAACCACCACAAGTTTTACACTTAGCCTTATTTTGTTCTCTTAGTTGAGTAAAAAAGTTCCAAACAATGTTTCGGGGCGTTTAGAATGTTGTCTATTAAAAGTAGGGGTTACTA